TGCGAAGTAAAATCAGCAAAAACGAGGCGAATCTGACAACTAATGTTTCTTTTAGCTTCTGGGCGCCTTTGCGCTGCTATGCCGCACCTGGTCCATCTTTGGATACAGCGACAGGTGCTGATTGCGAATTTAAAATCATCATCATACCAACGAAAAAAGCATGGTCCAACAAGCGGAGAAAGTCAACCCGCACTCGACCCTTAGTAGGCTTAAGGAGTACGCCCGGAGAGGTACCCGATATGGCGTATTACTCTTGGGCCACTTCAGGTCTGGCATGGATATGAGATCCAACCGAAGGTCTAGGAGGTACCCGATATGGCGTATTACTCTTGGACCACTTCAGGTCTGGCATGGATATGAGATCCAACCGAAGGTCTCCATGGCCCGCGAGACGAATCTGACAAGTATCACCGTGGATCGTCGCGTTCCAGCTGCGGTAGGGCGTGAAAAATGTGGAGAGACAATCGAGAGTATCCGAAGGAGGTCGCTGAACGAATCGAAGTTCGATGAATCGCGTGATGGGAAATGAGAGAAAGAAAACGCGAGAAAAATGATCGCGGGAATGCACGCCAATTCGCTCGCTTTTCTTCCTGCTTTTCTCCTTCGGCTTCTACTACACCGGTTCCCTTGTCCGCGCGATAAGCTCGATACTGTCAAGGGAGCAGGATCATCGCGCGAAAGTGTTTACCACTCTCGATCCACGTATCTCGATGTCAAACATCTAGGAATACGGAGCGCTCGATTTCGCGACCATCCATATGTGAGGGATGAATTTCTAAAAACCCCCACGATGATGGAATATTTCTGACATGGCGTGTGTTGCGACGGCAATAATAGGTGGAAGGCGCGCCTAGCCGTTCCTCTTTAGAATCGACAATCATAAATCGAGATAAGGACTAGGGACGGTAATACTTGAGACCGGACCCAACAGACGGGACGCACGTGCGACTGACCCACGAAAATGCTAACAAGACGTACGCATAAATCAAGACAAAACAATGCCAAAGAGAGAAACTTTCCTGTCATATTCCCTCTTCTAACCCAAGAGCCTGCCAAAACTCCTTGTCCAATGAAAAAACTCTAATTTTCCTCCTCCTACACTCATTTTCCTCCAGTCACAGCAAACCAAGACTAGACAAAACGAGACGACAGGCAGTGGCCAAAACCAGAGTATCAGACGACAGTGAGGAGTAAAACAAGCAAGACGGTAGAAAGACGTAAAACACAAAACATCAAGACGTTATCGAAACTCAGTCAAACACATAAAACAAAAAGACAAACGGAAAACGAAGCAAGACGAAACGGCAAAGGCTGAGACGATACACTACACACAATCAAACTTTCCTGTCATATTCCCTCTTCTAACCCAAGAGCCTGCCAAAACTCCTTGTCCAATGAAAAAACTCTAATTTTCCTCCTCCTACACTCATTTTCCTCCAGTCACAGCAAACCAAGACTAGACAAAACGAGACGACAGGCAGTGGCCAAAACCAGAGTATCAGACGACAGTGAGGAGTAAAACAAGCAAGACGGTAGAAAGACGTAAAACACAAAACATCAAGACGTTATCGAAACTCAGTCAAACACATAAAACAAAAAGACAAACGGAAAACGAAGCAAGACGAAACGGCAAAGGCTGAGACGATACACTACACACAATCATCATACAAAACGTGTAATAAAGTGTAAATACACCAGAAACTGCGCTTTATTACACCACCGAGGTGCTCAATGTCTCGTAAGTGACACGACACATTGAGAAGAGGGTAGCAGCATTATTTTACTCCTACCCAACCTGCGTGGACCTCATCCTTCTTACACCACGCGGTACAACAGCGTGCATCGATCTTTAAGCGCTATAAACTACGTTAGAGCATTGTCTTTGATAGAATTTGGTATGGCAGTGGTGTTAAAAAGGAAGGAACACTGATTATAGAAAGACAGCGCTTTAATAATTGGTAACTCGATCGGTGTGTGCTGTACAACGATTGCTTAGAGACTGATTCGTTTGAAGAAAGGAATTTGACTGGCGACCTACGCGTACACAATCTTACATTGGTATGTAATAATCAAAAACATTTTAACATCGACGTTACATGTAAGATATCTTGTCTTACGTCTTTAGCATTCCAGCAGTCTTTTCGGCGAATTCGGTTGAATTTAATTTAAGCAAATAGGTTAATCACCACTCGAGTGTTCCACGTTGTGCAGTATCCCTGAACATCCATCTTGACCACAGACGCCACGAACCGAATCGATTCGCAGCTTCCTCGAGCTGCAACGGCAAACGCAACGAGCATAGTCGTAGAGCACGACGGACAAAAATGAATTTTATCTTTGATCAAACGTGCACAGTTCGAATGGAACGTCCAGTCGTTATCACCTGGGAACAGTGAACTGTATCGAACGATAACCAACGGAAAGGGGAGCGTCCTCGCTCTCGCGGAAGCGCGCGAAGCAATTCGAAAAATTCCGTGGGCCGTTTGGGCCGTGGAACCCAATTTTCCAACGGCCACGTCGAAAATGTTGCATCGCGTGAAAAGAAAAAAGAAAAGAAAAAAAGAAAAAAGGAAAAAACGGAACTAAGAAGATTAATTATCAATCGAATTCACCGTCCAGTGAATCTCGGTGCTATCGCGTTTCACCGTGAACGAGTTTTGTCACGGTTGACGCTGATGTTTCATCGATGCTTTGTTTCTTTGTGGAACAGATTTCACGGACCAGAGGATCCACCAGTGACGGATTTCGCGTTTTTCCTACTTTTCGTATTTTTTTTTTTTTTTCACGGCATGCCTCGCGCGAAAGACGCGAATTTCGCGAGCCACGTGTCGCGGAATATGATCGGGGTATTAAGCTTAAGGAAATCCATTTTTCCTATCCCGCGTCTAGTGGATCGTGTCGAAATTTCTCAGTGTCAGGCTACGGGACGAGCGCGATACGGGAAATCGAATGTCAGGATGAAACGCGAGGCAACAACCACACCCGGTATCATTTTTCACATCTGTTTCCGGCTGCCGCTTGCTAAGTGAGCTCATCCTATTTGGCATGCAGCTACGTCCGTAAATTGGACAGATTAATAACAGTAAATTCTTCGAAACGCCGGATCTGATCGGAAATTGTAAATTTTCCATGGAAATTTAAACGATATCGGCCGGCGGAGGCGCGCCCAATTAAAAACAAATGAAATTACACACATATGCAGCTGTACCGAATGCTCGAGTTAATTCGATCAAGCGTCGAATAAAATGTTGGAATCATATTAGTTTTTGTTTGATCGTGTTTCCATTTCGCGAACCCGGATTATTCTAGATTCGCGGATGGATGAATTTTGAATTACGTTTGCCTCGCTTTGCTCGCTTTAATAATCTATTTTCGTGTTTAATTAGGACAGAAACCTCAAATATGGTCTTTCGTCGACACGGGGAAACGTTTGGTAATTGAACGAGACGCGGCACGGAAGAGGCGCTCTTTTCGTTATAACGTGATTAAATCCCGGAGAATGCATCAAGCATTTATGCGAACGGAAAAATAAAAGCCGACTGCCGGATTTCTCAAAAATCCTCCATCCTCGGCCTAAAGGGCGAAATAATGCACGAGAAACAGAATACATATCCTGTCTTTGTCACTCTTCCAAATGGTACAACGTCCACGGTACATTAACCACGGGTGTACCAAAATTTTTAAGCGAACCAATTATTTTCATTAATTTCACCGTTCCGGTTCCGTGCACGCGCGTTGTCACACGCGTAAATGCCGATCGTTTCCTCGTTCACGGCAATGACAAATCCGTCAGCCATGTCCCGCTTTAATTACTCGCTCTCTTGCCTCGCATCGTGGTATCCGCAAAAAATCGAATGTAATTAACGTTTCCCAGAGCCCAGTCGCAGTTTCACCAGCCTCGATCCGTAACCTTTCTAGCAATTTCCAAATTTCCGCCTGATTTTGAGCGTGTCCTCGTTTGGCCATGACACCTGGCGTATCCGCGTCCACCTATCCAAGAGTCCAACAACGTTCCATTCTTTCGACACGGTTAACAACCACGGGAAATCGTCAACGGAACCACGACGATGCTCGTACAACCGCTCGCACCAGGTATATCAAAAGCAGATGCGAATTCGAAATGGGACAAAAGTCGTCGTACACCGGAATTACGATGAATTACGATGAATTACGCTGAATCACGTTGAATTACGTTGAATTACGTTGCATTTCGGGATTTCGGAATTTCGAGTTTGCTAATTTTTCGCGTCAACTCGGACAATCCAGACGTGAATTGCAGAAAAACCGCTACGTTACGTTAGATTGTATGAAGGAACCACTTAATGCTCTATTCGCGAAATGAGTTTTTAAGGAAGAGAGCTGAAGAGGAAAAAGAAAGGGGAGACCCTTCACGTCAGACACGCTTGGTTGAAATGTCCCTTTTATTCGAATGAAATTTCCACGGAACTTATACGCGTTTCCGTCGTCTTTCACGAGGCAGGAAGTGAAATTTTTGCTTGAAAAGCGCTTTTCATCGAACCAATAATTTCGGTTGTAACGAGAGTGGGAAAGTGGCTCGTAGACCAAGTCGTAAATTCTTCATTACTCGTGGAGAATTTCAGGACGTTAATACAGAAGCAACGCGATGAAGATTCCGATGGGACGATTTCAAAAACTTTTTTAATAAAGCACGCTTTATGAAGCGTCCGATGCTCGCTTTGCGGCCCGTTAATGGTATTGTACACGGAACGTCTTTCAAAACTGTTTAAAAGACTATCAGTTCGGCAAACTTGCGACTTTATAAGCGCCATTCATATTTCATCAGCCATTGAACCGATGTAAAGGTATTAACCCCTCCGTTAAATGTGAATAAAAATTATAAATCCCTTCTGAACAGATAGCGAATGAAGAGTCTTCTCGGAATATCCTCTGTGACGATGCGCTACACGTAGGACCGATTATCCCAGGACCAAACGATCTGTCGTACAAATTCTAAATTATGAACATTTTCTCCGTTTCAGGCCCGAAGCCGAAGCTGAGGTATCATTACAGAGCTCATCAACTGTCTGTTTGGTTACGTCTTGTCCCGGAACTCCATCGAGCCGGAATGGAGGACGTGGATTCGAAGCACAACCTATTCCGTGGACACTCGGACCCCAGCTTGTACGACGGATCGGTGAGGCCAGATCCACTGAGCAGGATCAGCGAGGAATTCAAAAGGAAGAATACCACCACCGAGCCACCGACCACTACGGACTACAATGCTGCCACGTGTGTCAGTTACATTCAGAACACGAATTTTCAAAACGTTCATAACACCAGTACGGATCCGCTTGCCAGTCTGGATGCAGCTGGGTACGTAATAAGCAAATTCGGTCTACGTAATGAAAACATTGTTGCCTGGTCCCTGTTTTTGAAACAACGTTCGTATGTTCGCTAAGTCGAATAATCAGGATTGTCAGAGTATCAGAACGTGCTGAATTTTCCTTTACTTTCATCGTGAAACGTTATGAGCAGGATTATTCGGTTCGCTTTTTAAATCCACTTTAAATCGACACTTTTCGCGTCTCTGTGGGGAGGACACAGAGGCCTTTGAAGCATAGTCGAGCGTGTAAAGATACGCGTTTATATTTTTATTTCGACAGGTATGCCGCATACTCGACAGCTCTCAGCGTGACGATCGCGATCGGATGCAGTTTACTGATTCTGAACGTGCTGATCTTTGCGGGAGTGTACTATCAGCGGGACAAAACGAGGCTCGAAGTGAAAAGCCTTCAGCAGCAACAATTGTTGAATCAACAGTGCGGACCACGAGGTTTCTCCGAACTCAAACAACCGCCTCCGCCGCACTCTCATTTCCCTGGAAGCGGTCAGGTTATCGTCGACGTCGAGAACGCCGAGATGCTCAGAAGGTACAGTTTCTTTCAAAGCTTTGCGGAATCGATCCTCCCTCCGCTAACAACATTTGCCAAACTGACCTCGGAAATACTTCTCCAAGTTAAATTAATTTTTAGACGAGTAGCCTGAGCAAAATTCTTGAATACGCTACGAAGGAGATCGACGAAAAGGTGGTCACGAGTATTTTAATAATATCCCCAACGATCCTCGTATCAACTGATCAATGTGATAATCTCTGATAATCGTCCCCCTTGTTGTATGATAATTCGTGCAATCGGAAATAATATCACTTGTCATCGTGCCATCTTGTAAATAAACTCGCGCCACTCCTCCGTGTCTACACCATGGATGACCACCTTTTCCCTCGTTGCACCCTACTGCATGATTCTTGTTGGACGTTAATGTAGCGACGCATTTAGTTGGCCAATAATTACGTATAATCCCTAAACTGTTACGAAGCTCGTAACGATCAATCGTCGTTCCAGGAACGTTATGAAAGGCCCTCCGAACGATCCCAACACGCTTCTCCAACAGGGCCAGGGAACTCACACGTTGCCTCATCAACACCATTATCAAAAGCAACATCAGCAACAGCATGCCACTCTTCCCCGAGCTTCCGTCATACAGGACATGAATGCACAAACCCAAGTGAGAGTCAGTCATTTTACCTCAACGTTTACGAGCAGCCTGTCATTCTCAGATCAGAGAAAGGCAATCTCGCAAGATTCCATCATTCGATGCATTTGCCTCGCGTTATTCTTTTTAATCCTTTTATCTCTTCGACTCGACGACGTTTCATTTGTCTTTCTTTCTTTCACTCGCATACCGCTTCCAAGAAATAGCCCCGATCGAAAAATCCCTGTCAAAATCCACTCCTGTCAATTTTATCGGATTTTTCGAAAGACGACTGAACGTTTCTTATCATCCTCGATTTTGGTTTTGTATAATAACGGTGAATTTTTCTCTCGATTCCACGATAAGGATCGTGCTTTTTACTGTTAGATTGCGTTCTTGTGTCAAAATTGCAACGAGTCGAGAAGGGTAAATTTTGACAGGTACCCTTTAACCCTTAGAGTGCGGACGACTTTCTGCCGAAGCGCTTCAGAGGGACCGTGCATGCTTAACGCTGTGGACGGAATACTTTTCGCTAGTGCGAGCCCTGTTGATTAACTGTTCGAGGCGCAACTAACAAGTTATTATTGTAATTCTTTTGCAGCAGGTTAAATAATAAAGGAACGTTATTTTGAAGCATCAATTATCCATTAGAATCAATAAAATTTACAATATAACTTAATATAAAAATAAGGAACAAGAACGAAACAAAAATTAATAATTTATTTGTGTATGATCAATTTTTTTACATCGTTAATATTGTTGTACGTATATTATATTGTTATTACATTACTAATGATACTCGGAACAGATATACAAAAGAATAAACCCGTCCTCGCGTTTATTATTTGTTCCATCGTTTGGCTTTTTTTACTGCCGTTGTTAAGAAACACACATGTATTTGTCTCACATAAAGTTACATGCAATACTATTACATGGAAGACCGATAAAATTGAACAACGCATATATGCGTCCACCGTTCCCTTCTGGTGACTTTCGCCGGACGCATATATGCGTCCATAGCGCTCTAAGGGTTAATTGTTGGAACGCGAACGAGAGAAATTTCGCAACACGGTTTGCTCGACGATGTTGAGATTTTGTTTACCGAGACGAAAATGCGACAACGTCATGGAATAGCCAGTTTAATCGCGACTGATTTATAAAACTTGCACCGTTTTAACGAACCACGGCCTTTGGAAGCTGCATCCGTAATCCTATCAAGGAGCTTTTAAAACTGCTAAAGTCTGGCCAGGTGAAAGTTACACCGATGAAAGCTTCTTCTTGACGTTCCACGATGCGATGATTATTTCAGCGACGAACGATACCACCCTTTTATCTCGTTAGCGAATTCCCGTAGATTCGACAAGGATGACGACGCCTCGGCGAAGTTCGTTAAAACAAAACTCGAACTTCCATACCTATCTCGACTTAATTTTTTCATCGAGAATTTTTATTCCCCCTCCCCCTACGGATTCTGAAACCTGTCCGAGAGACATCGCGCGGATTAACGAGTGGAAAATTGCGAAGATCCAAACGAGGACAAAACGATCGAACGTAAATTCAAGCCGCAGAAGCATCTAACCTTTATTTTCCATATCTCGTTCTGTTCTAGTTCTTGCTGTTTCGTAGTTCGGTTTAATATCCGCAAGAATTTAATCGAGCGGGGCAAATTTTCGCAGTGCTGAGAATTTCGAGGATCGAGTAACACGTTCGCTAGATACAAGCATCGTCTACCATCGATGGAAATTACCGCTTCCACTTTCCAATTTACCTTCTCTAACGATATTTCGCAAATTCCAGGGTCCACCAAACGGGTCCATACATCTGACAGTACCAAGAGCTCCGCCACCCCCGCGAGCAAAGAGTCCACCCGAGAACCAGCCCCTGCTGCAGAATGCCACCGTGTCGAGTCGTGTGTCCCAGGCTACGATGAGCGAGATGAGGGTGTGATGCTTGGACCCCCCTCCGAAACCTGTCGTGCCGGACGTTCTTACGGCATCGACTTTGCTTTAAATAGCAAACGCGCCGTGTCGTCTGTGCCAGTCAAGTTCTGCCCCGTGATTTCGATATAATCGAAGAAACATTTCTGGGATGAAACTCTTCCCGGCAAGATTCCATCGAAATTCCGGCAAACAATTCTCGACTGGCACCTGGCCTGAAAACTTTCAACGTTTTCCATTTCCATCGCCCAGTTCACGACGACGCGTCACGAAACCCAACGGAGGGGGGTGAAAGAACGATTAAAGAATGCGGGGAGGTAAAAGTATCCGGTATTCGTCGAAGAAGAAGAAGAGGAAGAAGAAGAAGAAGAAGAATTAGGGTAGAGGTAGAATCGGTGAAACTAAGGAGAACCGAGGAATGACTTTTTTGGACTGCATTCTTTCGAGATGCTGATTCAGAGGACAAAACTGCAGCAAGATCGAAAGAAGGAAGTCCGACGAACGTCCTGCGAGAATGAAGGGGCTGCGAAACGAAGTGTGAATAGAGGAAATTCGAAATTGGATTTTATCGAGTAGATTTCTTCTCGCGAGATTCTTTAATGCGAGCGAAATAAAAGGGACAAAAGTTGAACCGCGTGTCTCGACGGATACCAGAATCGTGATCGGGAACGATAAATGGATCGTGAATATGATCGATGAAATCCCGATACCCAAAACCATCAAGATGCACGACTTTCTTTCTACCATTGATCACACTTCAATCAATCAAAAAAGAAACTGGAAGAAAAAAGCATCGTTTCACAATGAAATTTAACGAGTACGTTCAGCTAGTTAGTCGGTAATAATGAATTCTACGTGTTACGAGAGAAGAGAGACGCTCAAAGCATAAATCGATCATGGAGACCCGTGTATAAAACGCTATCCACTACGATGTTAGATGTTCCTTGTATATATTTAATGAGAAAAAGACGAAAAAGTGAATTTATACCGTAAGTGAAAGCCAAACATGTTTGCTACTTTCTAAGAGGACATGTACTCGTGTCGCGTGCAGTTTGATCGTCCGTTTTATTCCTTTCTCCGTTCTCTTTTTCATTTACTTCTTCCTATGTAATTGACTGTAAACGTTACGCGGTGTAAGTGTGCGAGATCATTAATGTTCAGATCATCGTCATCGTGAAAGGAAATTAGTTCATCGACGAGTCGACTGGGTGTTGTCTTTGATTGGTCAAAGAACGTCGAAATTTATGGAAAATGTCGGAAAACCACGGATCACTGAAACATCCAAGACGTTTCGATCGTTTTCTTTTCAATAACATACGCATCCTTCACACACGACACAATGGACCGTCCACCTTTTGCTATTGCAATCTTTCAGACTTTGTTCAAACACTGACATCGTCGGTTAATTTTAAATCAAGTACCATAACTTATTCGCTGACTTTCTGAACAATCTTTTTAACTGAATACATTGTAAAAGCGAAAATTGTAAAACTATCGAACAGTTTCTTCTTTTATCGAATATATTCGTGGCGAAATTGAAAGATCACGACAGCTCGTCGTTTCTTCTGTTCGGATGAAGGAACGAAGCTGAAATATCAAAATTCACGTAGACCGGTATAACGAACTCCCTTTTGCCAATCAAAAACTTCGAACGTCGATGAGCATAATGTCGTTCAACCTCGTCCCATTGTTGTAATACCGTAACTCGAAACGATCCTATTTCACGAAAGAAAATCAAACTGAGCGACGCTTCCGATACGTACCGTTTTGAGGATGAATCTCTGTCAAACGGTGAGTGGATAATTACAATTTTTCTTTTTTTACGCTTTTGGTAACTCCGAGGGATCTCTCGGCAACGAGATTTCGTTTCACTCGAATTATTAAATAAAATATCGAGAAAAATAAAAAAAATATATATATATATAAAGGAAAAGGGAGCGAAAAGTGATCGCTTGGAAAGGGCTCGATTTACATTTGTTATTCAGCCGCCGTTCTTCCGACGAATTTTAATCATCTAGTCACGATATAGTAAAAATATTGTTATTTTTTTATTTACGAAGGATTTTAGAAATGGGCCATTATTATGGTACCGCGGTCTAGCTTCCGAAGAAAATTCTACAAATTTCTGTCGTTCCATCGTAATACGATCACAGTTCGAGCTACCCTCGAACGCGACGTTTCATCTAGTAGCACATGATCGAAGAGGCCAATGCATAACATTTAATTACAGCATAGCCAAGTCGGTAGAGCAAATGAAGCTGTACAGTAGCGCTAACCACAGGCGACTAAATCGCCAATGTAAATCGGGACTGTATAGTCTGCGAATCGACTGTGCACAGACATGTTTGCCGGTTAAGCGTGTTGAGGGTAACTATACGCCATGAATGCGGATCTAGTCGAAGATCTCTAGAATGCTACCTTAGGAGAGTCGACGATGTTGAATCGTTAGACGGAAATAAAATGACAAAAGAAGAATTGGTCGATTCGTATTGGATCCAAAGTGTACGTGATTTTTTGTAAAAATAAACGAAAACGTATAGGTGTAACATAAAGATTAACATAAATCTGTTATCATGCGTAAGACACTGCCACGGGACACGTAAATTCGCGTGAAAAAAAGAGTTTCGCCGGTCGGTTCAAATAAAAGAGACTGTTACTCCAATGTGACTTGATTCTTTGAAGCACCATTTTATTCTGATCGACGCTTTTTAATTATTTCATAAATTCTCATATTTCCTCCGTTTTTTAACTCGCGATACTACGCAATGTGTCGTACGGAGTCTGCCATGTAATCCTAATGAAATTCAGGAAAATGTTCGTAGGCAATTCGTTTCGAATTTTTCGTTGCGATCAGCCAACACGTACACTTTTTAACGTAAGATTCTAACCTATATTAATATATAAGCAATTTTTATTATTCTTACCTATTTAGTCGTGAGCGAACACATCTTCCAACGTCGTAATTATTAAATATTGTACAGTTTTTAACGATAACGTCACGTTTTTATGTAACATAAGAACATTCGAAGAGTATGCTTCAAAGAGTTAATCACTGAACAGAATTTAACACTTTCACTGTTGTCCTGTTATCAAGCTGTCCTCCAAATCAAATGCGAAATTTGATGTTCGTTTGTATTACTATTTATACGTAAAATAAAATCAAAACTTCGTAAGATTTTTAGGCATTCGAATACACAAAAGCGTCACTCTGTTCAATATGGCAGTGAACGCGTTAAAAGAAGTTCTCACGGTTGATCGACTTAGAATCTTGTTTTTATGGAACCACCACACGAAGACCGAGCTTAAAGGAGAAAAAGAGTACGTGTTAATATGAAAGAAAGAAAAAAAAAAAAAAGAAATCAAAGTCTTTTGTACATACAATTAAGCGATTAAAGTAAAAGGAATCAAAGGATGGTGTTTACGATATTCTCGCCAAGTTCAGCATCATCGTGAATGGATAAAAACGGGAAGCAAAGTTCGTTAAACCGAATAAAGTCTTTTTTAAGATGACTTGCGGAATTTCGTGAAAAAGTTACGTAATAAATATCATTAAGTACGGACAATCCGAATATACTAAAGACTAAAGGAGGAGCGAATAATAGTAGACTTAAATAAGAACAAACCATGATCGGTAAAACGAGAATAACAACGGAGAGAGATACTGAACCGGTTAAACAGATGTTTAAGGAAATTTAAATAACATATATTAAATACACATATTATGGATTGTAATGAATTTATTATGGCGAATATTATTATATTTATGTGATTTTTAGCTGGCCTCGCGTTCCACCGAAAAGATACCTGAATCAGATCTTTCGGCCGAAGGCAAGGCTACCTGTTATGTTTAACGTTTCTGTTATCAAATTGTAAATATATAACAAAATACATGGTGATATTAATTGTACGTGTTAAATGTTTCTCCCAGTAATCACGTTTCTTATTGAAAACTTTCTGACAAATAATAGATAAATAAACAACTGGAACGAATAACCCAACGGTGAGACACAAGTCAATGACAAACACATGCAATTCAAGGACGAGATAGCAAAAAAAATCATAATTAAATAATTAGAAAATTATTAGAAGAAAATTTAGACGTATCTTGTCCAAAGTCGAACCGACAAATAACTTACACTGCGTCGCGTCGCCCCTTATATAGCTTCCGATCGACCGAAGATTCACGAAAATTCTCGATCATTGCCGATACTCGGATAATTACTTTTCTGTTACAATAGTCAATTATTCGTCAATTTTTTGTACTCTTTTTTATTCATTATTTCTTTTGCGTTTGGGCAATTTGTTATTAACAATATCGATTTGTTATTAACAATAAATGAAACAATTTATACACCTTTTGTTTATTATTGGTATATTTATGCTGTCGTGCTATAAGTATCTTTAATATAGGTATTATTATCAATCATAGGTAATATGTTAATTCTGAAACAGAAAAAATTAAAAGAAAAGCGTATGTGAATAAAAAATAGATAATGGAAGAGTTTTTACTCAACGTGGAATTACTCAAATATATAATGTTAGGTTTATCGTTTACGTCATTTGTGACAAGAATTTCCAAGGTACATTATATATTTGTTACCATTTGATGGTAAGAACATGCACAAGATAATAAAAATTATTTTAATTAGTGATTACCGACTAAGAATACTTAAAATACATACAAAAAGCATTATGTATTATGTATAATTACTATACTGGAAAATTAATAGTGTCGTTATGCAAAATTTGCAAATCGAGGAATAACATTATATAATATTTGTTATACTTGTTATAATATCCAAATACCCTTCTTACCTTCTTAAGATAATAATAATTATTCCTATCATAATATAATTATAAATATAAAAATGCTTATTTTTGTTAACTAATATTTCATTTTATCCAATGTTTCACATTTTTTTTCGGTTTAGTACAATGGAATGACGCTACATACGTTTTATCAGTTACTGAAATTACGTTTAATTCATAAACTTCATGACATTCAAGGAATGTTATACAATCTTATCGATTGTATTTTGATCCATTATTTATCGGATAAAATGGTCTTATATATATTTTGTGTAATAATCATATACGTTTGTTTGAAAATTATTACTAATGGCCACCCAGAAGTTATTTAAGCTATAATTAAATACGTATATACATATTGTGATACGTAATTGAGCATTTTACTGTTCATTGGCGCTGTAGTCCTTCTCGATACTGAATCGATAACGTCGCATGTGACATAAAAGTCGTAAAATGGTTAGGTGATCTCTAAATTTGTGTAACGAAAAAAGATGTTAGTTATTGTCTTTCTACTTTTCGTATATTCCTACCTTTCTTGTACTTAGATGAACGCTGAGTACTTAAACTTTGAGTACAGGTTTTAAGTATGGTCAAGTAAATTATAATCCCGCACATGAAATTCAAATTATAACATTTTTCGTGACTCATCTACGTATATGTATATTGCTTCCTTTAAGTGTATGTCACAATTCTTGTCAGAGGTAGGTGGGAATAATTTGGTGCGTAAGATACGTAATTTAAGAACATAGTGAGTGACGTGACGTCTACCGAGAGTAGCGAGCAAATGTTTGTTTCGATATGAAGCTTCGTCCAACCGTAATAAGTACGGAGACTTCAAACGAACAACATGTGCCGAATGATTGCTGCAATTCTTATCCTATGTTACTTGAGCTTTTCGCCATGTCGAGCCTTGGACATCGAAGATTGTGGTAAGTTTCGATTTCGCAACTTTCAATCGTAAACCAGTGAATGTTTCCTTTTGCGACAATATATTTCCACGTGAAAAAGAAATATAAATTAAAATGAATGTTACGTTCTTAAATATTTTAAAAATAATAAATTCTTTATTGGTGAGGTACTAAATATGATTCATCTTTTACTACCTATTAGTAACCTGAACATAATTGAAAGTATAACGTATTGGTTCAGTTGAATGTGTATGTAAATACTACTTGTTACCTACGATATTGTAAAGTTGCCGTGAATTTCAAACAGCAATACGAATATTTTTTGTTTTCATAACGAAAATTATAACTTATCTCTCTTTCGGCGATACAGATATTACAGTACTCGAATAACGAATAATCAAAAAACAAATATATGTGCATAGAATCATGATTGATGACCGGTGCGATTTGTTTTTTTCGTGTATTATATCTTATTATGAAAATATTTGAAATAAATTCGGAAATCGTGTTATTTCTTTTTTTACCGTTCAAATTATTAGAACGGTGTTTATAATCTTATCATAAGTTGCAATTATACGAGCCATTTTTAGCCTCGTTAAATAAATAATTTTGATATGGTTACAAATTTATGTCCCTGTCAATTCTAGTTTCATTATTTGATTTCGGGAAAATAACTACTACTTAATAATCAGTTCAGTAGCGTATAATTGATATAATAGCATGTGATCGTAAAAGTAGCGGAAATTCGTATCTCAGAAATTGAAAGTCACGAGTCATGGCAGTTACTTCTCTGTAATTGTTACTGTAAAACTCTATTTACGTAAAGGGTATACATGAAGACTAACTCAATTCATCTAATTGTAACGCTACAAGTGAAATTATTCGGATACACGAAGAAATTTAAATATTTTAATGGAGTATAGTATTAGTGATTTACATTATAGCTTTTTTCATACAGGCTCAAAAGCTGGGAAATTTTTGTCTTTAAATTTGGATTGTGACATGACCAAAGCTGTATGTGATTTAATACCAGGTACAAATGCAACAATTCGTATCGACTTTACGATGGGTTAGTACGTTCATATTAAATGCCATTATTTAAATATTAAGCGCAAGATGCTTAAAACATTAAACATACTTTTACAGAAAAAGATATTTCAAAAGTCACCGCCGTCGTGTACGGTATAGTGATGGAAATGCCTATACCTTTCCCATTAGCGAATGCAGATGCTTGTGTGACTCCCGATTCTGGAGTTACGTGTCCCTTGAAAAAGGGCGAAACGTATCATTATAAAAATACATTACCTGTGCTAAAATCCTACCCTAAGGTATGGTCTATTTATACAATAAACATTTATACTGTACACACATTACTAATTAATTATTTCTGCTATTAAATTGTAGCTGAGTGTTACTGTAAAATGGCAACTCATAGATGAAAATAATGAAGACATCGTTTGCATACTAATTCCGGCACGAATAAAATAGGTAGTATTAATTCACAACTTACTGTAATTCTACTTTTAAAGAAGTTTATATTTTACAAAAATTGTATGAAATAAATACAAAACGTAGCATTAAAACTTTTACTTTACACATTTTTAAATTGAATTACCTTAATATACACGCGTTTCATACAGTTTTTATTCAAATTAATACAATGGCGAAATAAATGTATAATATTGTATTGTAGCAATAAATAACGAATATATTTCTTTTCAAATACATAACATGCTATAAACTTAAATGCTGAATAAATAAAAATTAAAATTTGTCGTGGGGTTTATGTTATAAAAATTATTTAATATTCTCACGTTATAAATTAGTGTGTCACATAGCTTAAATTTAAGCAAAGCTTTAAAAGTTTTAGTATTTCGTTTGCCTAGATAAATGATCTGTTTAGCTAATAGATAGAACATCTTATTGCAATAAATTTTTAATTCTTACACATTACATTAGAAACTAAATAGTATGACGTCTGATTTTACTAGATACCTGTATGTTTAACTATCTTTCTGAACGCGATGATGTAAAAAACGTTACTTCGTTAAGTTCATTTTTTATCTAACCTAGAGTAAGTCTTTTGGTATCTTCAGCATTTGCTAAAAAAATATCAACTATCCATCGTATCACATTTATCCTCTGTTCTTTCAGTATATATTTGATGGATAGTCCTTTTGGTTCTTTGTCTGAATAAACTCTGTTGGCCATTTTTTAGTGTTTTCTGTGCTTGATATATTGGTTCGTATTCTCTCAATTGTGCCATAAAACCTTCATTGGGATTTATACAAAACCTTCTTTGTTGTACTATTGTATATGCACGCCTAGAAAAATGATGGTTTTAATAATCTTACGTTAATATGAATGAAAAAAGAGAAGAAATTTACATTTGGGAGAGTTCATATGTTTCCATAACATATGCTAAAACTAATGCCGCAGATCGTGATATACCAGCATTGCCATGTACTAAGGCTTGCCCCCCAGAGTTTAAACCTTCATCGATAAATACTTTTACTTTTTGAAAATGTTGGATAATATTCTCTGTTGCTGTGTCAGCGATATTCAAAACAAGATACCTATAACATTCGTTATTAGCATAAAATATTAAAAACATATTAATTAATCAATTTTGTATTACATACTTAAATTTATCAGGAAAGTTGGGTTTTATAAAATTTGCTTCTATGTCCTGTCTAACACATACTATATGAGTTATGCCATGATCTAATAAAGATTGTAGTTTTGACCGGCTAGCTGCACTGTAAGGCCCAAGATATAATCCAGGTACCACTTCCTAATATAGGATAATTATTAATTTAAATCATATGTCATTTAGATAACTTTTAATAATATATATTAAATGTACCTGCATATTTCTTCTCATTGTATAAGTCCATTCTTTTGGTCCATCCATAGAAAGAGGTATTCTTGGATAATCGTCAGATCCATTTTCATTATTCGTATCCTATAAAGTATTTTTATTTACCTATTTTTAATTACATAGGTGAAGAAAATGAAAGATATAGAAAAAGGATAAGACTACCAATAAATAAAAATACAAGCAATTATAAACGGTATTTATTTGTATAAAAGTAGAAATAATATACATAAAAAACATAAAATATCGTATAATTTGTATATTAATCTTCGAGTAATCGTAACGGGAAATAATGGGATAGAGGTAAAAATATAATATCACGCATTTGAAAATATATATAAAGAAAAAATGTCAATGACAAATAATATAACCTATAATTTAAAGAATACAATTTTTATAACGGTTTAAAATCAATACGGTAAATTATATACCTCGTCTTGATGAGATCCATTACTGTCTAGAGACAGCATACCACTAATTTTGCCCACTTAAACGTGTAGAAATGTCGAATTTGGACAAGAAAATAAGAAATGCACTATCCTTTTTCCCGCGATCACGATATTATTTTTTGAGGTAGCGGCCATTTGTAGTATAGTTTGCTACTATAGCGTTCTCTGGTGTGCTATATGTAAATTACGTTGAATATCGCGGTCTTTTCATATTATTCACCTCTATAAGTTTAAAAAAGAATACTTAATCATTTACCGAAACTTGCATATAAAATATGTTACATCAAACGAAACGTCAACTTTTCTGTCAAATCATCAATATAATTTATTGCGCGATTTTACAACAATTAACTACGTGATAAAACCGCGTTGAGATTTGTATATACCTACATTTTAATTATATTTCTCTAGAGATATGAAAAATAGTCTCCTAACAATTCAATCCATTATTTACACAATTTATTTACCAAGCACCTTTGGACTATGCGATAATTTTTAACCTAAAATTTTAGTCACGTTCTTCGTCACATATAATTACTCAACGAAAATACCATTCGGGGAAAAAGATAAATTTCTATTGTGATAAAGAAGACCAGCAAAATGAACAGCGAGTCACAATATCAGAGTCCAAAGGATATCTCCTTAAGCAATTTCTGCAACGGGGAACGCATTCGAAAGACTGTTCTCCTACCCCACGACAGAAGAAAAATAAATAAAGGAAATTAGATTAAAATCGGTAAAGAAATCGCAATTGTAATATCGTTAGTCGAATTGCATAGCAGGGAGATTTCCCGTTCTACAAAGAAAAGGGAAACGGCTTGCTTTCGGCCACGAACACGAGCCAAGCGATGCAATTTAGTTACGAACTGTTTAATACAAGATTTTACGAGGCACCGATTCCCGGTTGCGGTAACCTGCGCGTATTTTCTTCCGGGACGTAATACAATTTTCTATAACTATCGCCACGCTTTCGCGATGAAAGTCCATGCATGCAGCGGCATCAGCTCGTAATTCTGTGTGCGTGCTTGATACGCGTCTTACCGGAACACTTGATAGATTTCGTACACGTGCTGGTGCTTGAGCTTCCGTGGAAAATGGCTATTACGCCTGAACTCTTACATTACCAAGTGCGTAAATTTTCATCTCTATCGTGCCCAGATATATGCCTTTCGACATTCGATTTCGGTATCGGTATTTCGTAACACGCTGCCGCGAAATTACGTTTCGAATTATAGAGTCCACGTGTGTACTTTAATTTCATGCTTCATGCTTCATCCTGATCCGATGGGTTTATCATTAGACCCTAGGTGTTCAACGTGATCGTCCCGTCTTCCGCTGTATTACAGTTTCTTGGAACTTTAGGTATCAATTAACGCGAGGAAGTCTTTAAAAGGTCGCCGCGATGGTGAATTGGAGATAATTCCCGTGCGAGGCTTGTTGGTTTTCCAATTTCAGTGACTGTAATAAGGAACATTGATGGCACGTGGAGTGAAGGGTGTTAGATACGATGGGCAAAGAGGGACAAATTTGGTATCGCTCCGAGGCACTGGTACAACGACGCTGGAACAACTCTGAGCGAATTCCGCGGTTGTTCCTTTACGCGTCGTGGCGTGTTTCAGATGATAAATTATAACGTCATCCTGACCTCGATCTGTTTAAAAATGGTGTCACTCTACGGCTGTCTGTCATTTCTCGTCACGGGGTGTATAGTGGCTGAATAAGGCTGCAAAGCTATCGTAATACGGTCTATTTTCCTAGTCACGCAGCATTGGGGTATTTAATTGCCGATGTGCTATACGTACGAAGAACGAATCGTGTGCTGGAGATAATAGTTTGCATAAAACGGGAATGGTGTTACGAAACAAGATGGCGCGTTGTCTTACCAGATAAATAAATAATGCTCGTTTAATGTCTTCATCGCTCCGTTTGTTCTCCGGCCAGGATCCATGAAATTTATACTTCGTAACTTTCGCTTCTTTTTCTTCAATCCTCCATGCTTTTCCCTTTTGCCTGACTTTCGCGTTTCGAGCTACGAGCGAACTTTGAACCATTTCGCGGGTCCGAAATTGCAAGGCATCTTAAAATGATCTCCACCGTAGCGTGGATGCGGCATCGCGTTACGTTAAACAGGGGTTTCTAGATCTCTGCGCTCTTCGGTAACACCGTTGCCGTCACTGTGATCCGTATAATTAAATAATTAAGCAGGCAACAGCCGACGGCGTAGCCCTGCCGCATGGAAGTTTACTTTCTAAGCTCGTTGGCGTGTGCAGTGCTCGCAGATATGGGAATCCGTGTTGCCCTCGGGGCATCAGCACCGAGATTGTTGCAATCGCCATCCATGGCTCGCGAATCTGGAGCACTTGGCACACGCTGGACGCACAGAACCACCGATAACCATCGGTAACTAATTCCATTTCGCGATAACAAGACCTCACCTGTATTCCTCATTCGGGACCATTTTCGGCCCATTCAATGGCTCACCTGGTACCCCTACTCTCTAAATTCTCTCGTCATAACGTTCATTTTTAATCTCTGTATCAGTTCGCTGAATATAGCTCGCAGACTCTACTCTGTATAATTTTCAGGGAACATGGAGAAGTTGGGACCAGTGTTTCGTTATTCCTCGAATTGCGCTCCGTTGCGAGTAGCTCGTAATTACCGGACGATTTCCTCCATCAGCGAAACTCTATAGCTACGTAGCCACGATTCTATCTACGAATTTTCATTTGCGAGAAATATTCGATTCTATTATCGTCGTCCTGCGAACGAGTTCGTTCTTATCCGATCCTGCTCGATTCTATCAATTCGATGCTATTAGAACTCTATAAGTGCCTTAAGTGCTCCGTCGTTTTTCCCGTCAGTTCTAGGAAAAACAAGTCTTATTATTTCGAGAACCAATCCGGCAAGTTCTAATTGTCAGGTCACCCGGTACGTTGCCCCTTCGGCAATGTCCACTTCGCGAACGTCAAGAAACGCGAGCACAGAACCAACAAGAAATCACATTCTGCCATTCGTCGATCGGGAACGATCGAGGTTCACGAGGACAAATTCAGCAATCCACCGAGGAGAAAAATGCACCAAGGGAATGCATTAGAAACGACCACCTTAACTCTCGGCGTTTCCATCTGTTCAACGGCTACCGACGCGCGTATTCATCGTGTCACGATGATTTATCGCATCACGTTCTTCCCGCGGAAGAAAGTGACAGCGTGGAAAGTTATTTTCACCTCGCAGCAGATGCAACGGATTACCAATACTCGATACTCTTCCCGACGAATGAAATTATTTTTACGTCTTACGGTTGCGCGCCGGATTAAAGAAGAAAGAGCACCGTAATTCATCACGGAACTCGGATATCGCCGTGAAACTTGGAGCGTTTACGTTCCATGCCAGCTGTTAACGTTGATGAGCCACCCCGTGCTATCTATTTGTAACCGTGAAACACGCGTTTAGCGAGTTTGCAAACGTGCTCGATTTATCTCGTTCGTATCAATTTGCTAGCGGCGTGATTTAATTCGATCGAACCGCGAGTCGTTACTTTTAATTATGCAGATTTTCCTTGAGCTCGGATTTGCACGAGTTCCCTTGTCCGTCGCGGGGTTACCGCTTATCGTTCCATTTCATCGCTCTCCTCTAATTGTTACGGAGAAGTTTAAAAAGCAGTCGCTTTGGCAAGAAGTCCCGAGCGAATTGATATTTCACGTGTTCGGGGGAGGAGAACTGGGCACGAATTTCTACCGCGTGCCATGACCCAAGTATGATTCATCTTACCCAGTCCCCTGTGAGAGTGTAAAATTTAGAAAAACCGTTTCGCGTATTGTTCTTTCTGCAATCCCACAATTCGCGGCAAATCGAAACACGCCGGATCGAGGAAGAAAAGGGTTCTAATTGAAGGTTTTGTTGCGTTAGCCGATAAATTGTATCTTATAGCAGATAGCGCTTTTCTTGCTCCATTAAATATTGCATGATCACATGCTGGTTAAAATTCGTTGTTGCTGCCTAAGTCTCTTTTTTAGCCAATACGACAGTCGCGATGAAGAAAATCGGTGGTTCTTTTCTGCGAATTCTTCGTTAAATAATAGCATCGACGATTTTAATCCCTTTTCCCGAGGTTCGAGGAAACGCAGCTACGATTAACGCTGCGTGACGGCGTATCAGTGGTTGAACTGTGCCAAAGTTAGCATCAACGTTGCACCAGTTGCACGAGAAAAATGGCAAAGAGAGAACAACGGACGGACTCGACGATTACGACTAAAATCGCGATGCAAAAGGCGAGATTAACAGGCGAGGCAACAATTTTCAGTAAAAAGATATGATCTGGACAGCAGACGTTTGGCTCGCTTTAATTCCTCTGACTCATAATCTGTGGCGGCCGAGCGATTTTATCTGGAGTGCGCGTATTGCCTAATTCCTCAGTGCACGGAGCTTCCTCGATTCGGTTTCCTCGTGTACTACCGATGACCGGCGTCGCTGAACCGTTCATAGCTGCGTTAGATCGGTTTTCGCGATCCGGGAACATCGTTATGGAAAATCCGAGCAGCATTTCGAATTTTTGCTCGCTCGACGGAGCGTGAATTTCTTTTGGGCACGTTTCTGCTCGCCCGACTCGCGTCTCGCTTTTCAACAAAGTTAATGAACGATTTACAAAATTCTTTAAACGTACGTGTTATCACGGTGTACGATCTGCACGTTCAGTTTGGGTTATGAAAAATTCCAGCTTTCCGGGAGACTCGTGGCGAATAAACGAAACCTCTAATGAAACGTAGCCGCACCAGGCGATGGTATTACGTTAGTCTAGCTCATTAGCAAGCGATTGAACTCAATTCGCTCGATCTGCGCTAACGGAGAATTCATTTTCGACGTCGCTTTGCTCGCGTCGTAGCCCGTGTAAAGCAGAAAAAGTCGCTACTTGGCTTTTGCCTGGACCTGGATCAGAAAATGCGAGATAACGATGTGACGGATCATTAAGGGAATTTATCATGGGAATTGACTGATTTTACCGAATCCTTCGCCACAATGAATATTCTCCGCGTTTTCTAACGATGCCTAGATCGGATAGTAATCGCGAAGGAGCGATTGCGAAATATTTCGGAGAAATTTTCAGAAAACGAGAAAGGGAGGCCGAGAGCCAACCAGTTGCCTGTTTCGCAATAGTAATCGTCGTTGCTGCAAATTTTTCAGGCATAATTCGTTCACGGAACAGTAAAACCAGCGTCCGAGTGTTCCATTTTTAGCCACGATTAAACCGAAATGGTCGCCGTGGAATAACGAGTATCGTTAAACTTTCGAGATTTTGCAAGCACTCCTGCGAGCGCGTTAACATCCGCGCAGGGTAGTCTTTCCGTCTCAGCGGCGGCGCACGTTCGGAAACAACGAGTGCAACTCGCGGCAATTGCGCAAAAGTCCGAGCGACGACTGGAAAGACGGTCGACCGTTCCCGCGTGATTGCCAATCGGTCGAAAAAAGATATTTTCCAGAGACGACCGGCGTAGGGAAACTCGGATTTCGCACGAAGACTCGCGCGATTCCTTCGCGTGGTTCCCTCGCGTTCGCGGGAACAAAGCGAACTTCTGGGAACTGGCAGACTAATTTGGCAGCAAAAATGCGATATTTCGAACGCGTTCGTTACTGTGGAGCATCTAACAAAGCGTGCTCTCGTTAGCCTGCTACAATTCTTGCCACTGCTACCTTACATCGTTTGCTTATCACTGCTATCTACGTGTATGGCTGTGCTCTGTCATTTCTTTGTTTCCGATTACCGAGGTTTACATTCGCTGAATCGGTCTGCCTGTCAGAACCTGAGAATCTTACGTTGCTCTCCGCGAACGTACTCCTTATTACGAGCAAAAGATTGAGAAACTTTATTATCAGTGTGGCTGAGACGTAATAATTGCAGTTCAGACCGATGCATTCCGGCCGACTTTTTGCTTAAAAAACTTTCTTCTCTACGAAAACCGATGCCGTTCACTTCAACATTAGATCATTCCTCTTTTTTCCTCTTCTCGAACGTTGGTCGTTGTCTAATTAGGCGTACGGACTTTTATCCAACTGCCAGTTGGAATTCTATTGGGAATCTTCACCGATCAGCACGGGTCAAAGCGTTCTCCATCATCATGGCGAAGGATTGGCCAACTGTCCGGTGCACTCCCATGTAAAGGGTGGCCAGTTTTCTCGATAAGGAGATCGAGCAGGCCAAAGGTAGCGAGAAAAGTCGTTTTAGAGAAACCGTGCCAAGGTGGAAACTTCGCGAATCGTTGCAACCTTCGTGCCTGAAGATCACGTAGGAGAACGTACCTGCGTTTCAGGGGAGTCTTTCGATAAAACGCCACGGTGTCCACCCAGCTTTTTCCATAATTATCGAATCGATATAGACACGCGTATCGGGAATTAGTTTTGCAAGCAGTTTATTAGAAAGGAAATTCAGCAGCAGGTCTCTATCTCCAGTATATCGACAACCGCCCCCCCTGTAAATGTGGATGAACGATTTTTTTCGCGGAGCAAGCACGATTTTAACAATATAAACGCACGACCAAGAACTAGATACATTTACGACTTTACTTGGACTTCAGCGGCTTGTTACGTTACGGAAAGTTGGCGTTTACAACGCTTACGAAATTGGCGAGTCGTAAAACCTAGTCCATTAGCGACGCGAGGAATAATTGGGATAAATAGGGCGGGAGAGATGAAAATTGTAACAGAATTTTACCTTGTCTCTCCCGTCTCGTTCTTTTCCAGCTACTCATTGCATAATATTCCGCTGATCAAAAACGTGTACGAAGAATTTCTCCTCGCCGCCGTTGTACCGGATCGATTTAGCAACGATCCCTTTCTTCCTCCAATTATATTAATATTTCATCGCGAACGCTCGATACCCGCGATCGGGAATAAATTTATATTTCAAATTGCGCCGAACTTTTTCCTATTTCGCGTATCTCGCGGCAATTGCACCATCGCGCTTAACGTCTTTCCGCTGCTGCGCTGATACCAACGACGCCAGTATTCCGGCGAATTACGGTGAATGGCTAATTGCTGCTCACTCCACTCTACGACGCAGAACAATCCGATATTCTTTTTCGTGGCCGAATTTAATTCAGCGTGGCGCGATAGAAAAACACGTGACACGTTCTAATTTCGCCTTGCCACAATGCTTGCCGTAAACGACGAACAATAAAATGACTATGCACCTTGGTTTTTCGATCGTCGTAAGACCCCTTGTGCTTGTCGGCGTACAGGTAACAGCTTTTTGCCAAATTCCACTGGCTTCTCGCTCGAAAACCAAGCCGTTCCGAACACTGGAACCACGAAGTTGACGCTGGCCTCGTGCAACTGCCATCGGCATCGTTAGATATCGATAATAAACTCTCGTGCCGTTGGAAGGTAACGAAGCACGTCGAAGTGGAAAATGAACGTGCGAGGAAAAGGTAAAATTTCAACGGGAAATTTCACAAAATCCTCGACGAAACCTCGTTGCGATTCGTGTTACGTCAATTTAGCCGGAAGTCGCGCTTAATTTTTCGTTGTGCAATTCCGTCTATTGCCATCGCTGTTTCGAGATGATTGACACGATATTGTAATACAGCGGACATGACAAAAGATCCATCAAGGTGCGAAACATGGCGTAGCACGGAGAAAAATTCGATACCAACTGTCAAGGAGTATGAATGTATCCATCCACCGCGGATAGGTTCCCTTCACGGCGCGTGGAACGACGCGTGAGTCATTCAAAAGTCAAAATGGACGACTCCACTTTCAAAATTTTTCTTTTCATTTCGGTATCAGAAATTTCTCACATTTGAGAAAAATTCCTACCTTCTGTTTTACGGAGTTATTCGATTTGACGAATGACAGGCTCACGCGTGTAGGCGACAGAGGAAGATCGATAGATCAATTTTGATAATTAATCGATGGAAAAAAGGACGATAATAATTGGATGGTTTAAAGGAAAAGCGAGAATCCTTGGTAAATATTTCGCGAGATCTACGTTGCCGTTTTTTCTTCGCATCGACGAATGCAGTCGTCCTTCCATGGGAATCCAGGTCAATCTTACGCGGCCATTTCGAATTTTCTCGAAAGGTTTCCCGGTTAGGGACAAAGGTTCGAAATTTTCCAGGGTGTCATCGCGGTTGACGGAAGTGGAACGTTCTTGCGGTCAACGGAGCACCGAATAAGGGGTCCGAAAGGGTCGATCGCTATTGGTGAAAGGGGTCCGTATGCAATGCAATCGTTGTACCCCCGCCTCATCTTGGTTCCCTGGGCCTGGGCAGGGCACCGCTATAAAAGCATACCGCGTCGCCCCTCAGATACGTAGTGTTTTCCCGTGTACTGCACAAGAAAAATCGCCCACAATGAAGTTCGTCGTAAGTTTCTACCAGTTACAAACGAGTCTCTCATTGTTCGCTTGGACCTCGTACTTGGTCCATCTCGCGGTACCCTGGGTTCCAACATAGTCTTTGCTTTTGCTCTGGGGGTGTCCGCGTTCTCTCACATTTGCCTTTTGCCGTTTAATATTTATCGGAGCTTATCGAAGCACGGTATCGAAGTTCGGTATCGAAATTCGGTATCGAAGCTTGGTAAACTGTCCGACGGGAATTTCGAGTTAATACTTTTGCAATTGCAGATTGTTCTGTTCGCCGCTATGGCTGTCGCCAGTGCCTACCCTGGTATCATACCGTACTCCGCACCGGTAAGTGAAAGCAGAAGTTTCTGAAAATTGTTCGTCTAATTGAAATTTTTCATAGATCGATGTACTTTCTGTTGCACGTTGCACAATAATCTTCTAATAGTTATATAATAATCTTCTTACATTTAATGGAAAGATAATTTCTGCTCTGTTGGCTCGGACCATTAAAACGTAACACTTTTCCAGAAGGTTCGACGTTGTAATTTTCTCTCGTAACATCTGTGGACAAAGTAACAAAAGCAATCTCTATCGACGCTGTTCTCGTTTATCACGGAGACAGCGATCAGTAACCAAAGAGTAATCATTTTACTTGCAAAATCGTTAACACTTCTCTTAACTCCACGACGTCCAAGTCTCGCTGGACCGAACTTGGGCTACGATCGCCACGGCTCGAGAAGAAATCCATCGACGATCGTGTCACTGATCTAACGTAATCTCTTCAGCATCTACTTTCACATCTCATTCTTCTCGTTTACTCTATGGTAATCTAATCTTCCGGGAACTTCGACCGCTCTTACGGTGCATTTCCCAGCATCGTTCTTCGCTAACCGAGAAATTAGACACTCTCGGTGGAAAGTAACTAAACGTAACCAAGTTTCCGTATCGAAGCATAGACGGCAGATAAATTGAAACGAAATCCTGATTTTTGAAACACATAGGCGCACCCGTGGCCAGCGCCTGAAGCTTGGCCAGCACCAGTGGCGATAGAGCCTTCGTACGTTAAGGTCGCTCAACCTTCGTATGTTAAGGTTGCTGCAGCACCAATAGTCAAGGTATCGGCTCCTCAGGTAACGATAACGATAATTTAGACTTAATACTATGACATCGGCAGCAGAAGTTTACGAGAAAGCTCTTCGTTGAATACGTAACACGGCATTCATTCATTTTTACGCGTATCACTTCTACCATTCACCTATCGGGGAATTAGCAACTTCGCCATCTCTGGCCAGTTCTAGCAGCCATCCTTCATTTCACGTTCCCCGAGTGCTCATTCTCAGAATCAGTTCTCTCAGACTACTTTCATCGTCATAATTTCTGGTTCGTTCGAAATTACTACCGTATCATCGATAACTTCCCATTTTCCGTGTCTAATGATTCGTCTAGAGCCGAGTGCCAGTTACGAGTCACGTAACTCAACTTTCCAGTCCAGGGATCGAAATCGGTTCTTGATCATCGTCTAATCGATTTGTTCGTTAACCGACGGACCCATAAGCATTCTAACGAAACGACAGCTGAACTATTGACAAGCGACTCTTAATCCTTCGTGCAACGAACAGCTGTAGACTATCCATCGTTGCTGATTTCCTAGTCGCTCTGGTTCTTACTTCCACGTTAGTAACGACTTCCACGTTTCTTGCGTTTAAATTACTTATCGATATTCAACCTAAAACTGTCTGTCTGCCCGATTTCACCGGTTACTCGCTAACCATTGTTCATCGAGTAGCGACAGATGGGAAGGAAAGATTTGCCTGAAAGGAAATGATCGTGACAGAAATTTCTGGCTACGAATTACGAGGATAACAATGTCGAAGGAAATACGCTAACCAGTGAAATTCCCGCAGGTACATGCCCCGGAAGTGCACCAAGTGCTTCAGATCCCGCAGCAAGCGTCGATTCCGGCCCCACATCCACAGCCCCTGAACATTAAGATCCCGCATGTGCCGACCGTGAAGATCCCATACCACGGCCCTAAGGTCGTCCAGCCACATCTGATCGGCGTGGAACATTACGTAGAGCCCGAAATAAAGATCGTCAAGGCTGCTCCCATCTCCCATCATCCCTGGGATTAAAGTTCCGCACGGCACCAATTGAACTCGCTGGTCCAGGGTGATCCATCCTGGACGAGCCGTCCTGAGGTGCATGCGGAGTAGCGACGTATTACGAACAACGATAACCATGGCCAACATCGAAATTCTCCTGGCGGGAAAGAAGCTCGGGACTATATACATTTGAAGTATCCACGTCGACGTTGTTGGAGCAACGCCCGAGTTCTTCGTCCTATGGGGAACTAGCTCCCCGAGATCGATCGAATCGTTTTCATTCGGGACGAGAGGGAGACAGAGGTCCAATCAGTATTATCCAGCAATTTAAACGTCGAAAGACGGACGAGGAACATCGAGGTTTTGCGAGATCGTTCGAAGATCACACGAGTATCGGCGCCCTCAGGATCGGCGAGCGCTTTGGACCACCCGAAGACCTCAGACCAGGCACCCAATCTTAAAAAAAAAGTTTACTTTATTTTTTTTTTTTCTTCATAGAGCAACTACACACGATACACGTTTACACGAGCGCAGCGACTTCCTTACAATCTCACCTCCTGTATCTGCCCCATCCTCCGTTAACTCTACCTTTTATCTCTGGACACATCGAAATTTTCGTGCGGCATGTGATATTGAAGAAGACATCACGACATCGGAGCATTCATTGTATATTTTCTTCTCTTCTTTCCGCCTGCCCCTTCCCCAGCCCTTACCATACTTTTGCAACAACACTTTTATTTATTTTCTAATAAAAGTTAATTTTTATGTCTTGTGATAAAACAGTGGTGTACTCTTTTGCGTTCGTTCGTCACCCCGTCCTTTTAATTTTTCACCAAGCTCTCTCGCCTATCGGCGGGGTTAGAGAATATTCTGTCCAACTTACGTAACGTCGAGCTATCTGCTTTTATTTTTACCACGTTACTGCTATTAATGCACGATGACATGCGTTCCTGAACCTTGAGTACGTACGCAACGCGGAAGCTCTGTGATACAAATCAATCTAATGTCGCCAGGGTAACGAATCGCCCAAACAAAAACGCTCAACCTGCTGCCATTATTTTCGCAGTGTATCGCGTTGGAGGACGAGCAAGCCGAGCAGTTCAGTTCACGGCGAGACCGATCGATCGTATCGAATTTTAAAATGTTGCCAAAGGTTTATTAATCAGTTGTGCAACAGTCTGTCACGCTACCGTGATCGGTACATCACTGTCGTAAAAAAGATTCCAGTCCAGATAGAAACTCGCATTAACGCCTACTTTTGGAATAAACAACATCGTGTTCTTTATTATAACACGAATTCTTCCAAAGTAATCGCTATTATGGCATCGGTAATTTTTCCAGTTTACTGCCACTGTTGCATGTGCATAACAGGGAAAAAAGCCGTTCGAACCGTGAGAATTACGCAACGAGAAAGCGCCGCGAATGGAAAATTCGATGTAACAATGAAACGCCGAAACGATAGAGGAAGAGCAAGGAAAGCGATCGTTAGAAGGTAGAATGACTCATTTCAGAGTCAATGAATTTTCCGAAGGATTTCGTGGGTTCCGCGTGAGAGAACGGGAAAAGAACTCGAAATATCGTTCGCCGACTCGACCTTTGATCGATTCGCCATGCTGGCACGGAGAGAGAGAGAGAGAGAAAACACGGGAGAAATTTTCCAAACGCGCTGGAAAATTTTCCCTTCGCCATTTCTACGCGAACGAACCGGAAGGTGGTCGAATCGTGCGGCGAACGATCCGCGATGCAGCCGCTTTTCCGCTTTTCCGCTTTTCATACACGGCGATTATGTGTTCCATCGATCGTCCTGTTCCAGCCTATATTTTACCCGGTTGCGTAATTGACACTCGTAACCTAGAGCAATAAATTACGTGCGGACTTTTTGTTGGAGTTTCCGCGTGGAGAGAGCATTCGTCAAAACGCCGCGAAGATTACGGAAGGATATCGCCCTAATTAGTTTCTCTACCGCGAATTTAAATGAGTCTTGCGTAATCCTCGTGACCCTCGGTTAGCCAGCAGTTCGTATCGCAAGAAGTCTGTTGTTCGATCGTAGACGCGCGTTTCATTCGATTTTGCAACGATCTAGCGAAATAATAAAATAGTAATAAAATGAAATTCCGTTGCTGCGGAAACGACGTGTCTCAAGCCCAGTTTCACCGGTTGCTGATTGCCTCGGTGATTACCAGGAGGATAAAAAATGAGTCACAGCAGCCTCTCTCTACGACCTGCATTCGGAAAGTCGCGATCCCCCGAAGCACCTTTTCCGAATCTCATTACGCACCGTAGAAATGCTAATTACATTTAACTAGTATATCAGGTACCATTCGACGCATGAAATCGAGAGGGAAAAATGTTGCAGCGAATTCTAGTCCACGACGAAATAGCTCGCGGCGTTCCTCCGGGGCACACCGTGTCATTGCGATTCAGTGGAAATCTTTTTTTTTTTCTTTTTTTTTCTTTTTTTTTCCTTTTTGAGAATGCGTAATGCAGTCCATGATTTTTTCGCTGCGTACCTCCGAGGCATTTCCTACGTGCGTCTCAGAAGCGTCTAAAGTGTGCTTCGCTACCTGCAGGCAAATTAGTTACCTGTGGTTAGCTGCGTGTAATTGGAAGAGGGTCGTAGAAATTTTCAATTCGAGCATGCCACGAACGACTCGGTTCTACCTGCGAATAATCGACAAGCTGCTATTTCCACGGCGTCTATTTCCCTGATAATTCGCTTCTAATTTTACACGGTCGTAGAATAGTTCGTCGACGTGCCCCCATGTTCTCCATTCCGTCTAATGGTAGAATCCGATGGTCTACTTCCGCGTGCGACGTCGATTACGTTATTGCGATTTCTAGGCAGCCTCATCGCGATAGAAAGGACATCGATCACTGAAACGGCGGTTTACTTTATTCTTATTGATTACCGGCCTACATTGTATTTAGCACGAACGTCGCGTTACGTGTTCCATAAGTAATAAAATTACACCGGGCAATACGTAACGCTTTCTATTGTCGGCGAACGTACACATGGAAAATTGCTTTCCACATAAATAAGATGTCTTCGAATACCGTCATTCATTTCTCCTTAGTCGATGCCATTAGCTGCGCTACATAATGCGAGTGCCGTTTAGAACGGACGCTTTTTCAGCAATAATGCTAAAATTAGCGAAAACGAATAACGAAATACACACGTACTTCCATCGTTTCTACTTTCTCTCTGTATTGTAATTTTTTCGACACACGTGCAGCTATGATAGACACTGCGCAATCAGATTCTAACTCACGTATTTAAATTCGATATTTCGTTATGTTCATTAAAGAAACACCCCGAAATCGCGCAGGCGTGACGGCGCGAAGATCGTTCCAGCGAAATTTTATTTACGTAAATGCGACTGATTTCCCAACATGGATGCCTCGCGTATGAACATCCATTCGATTTTGCGGTATGCCATGTTGTCTAAGGTAATTAATTATGTTCCCACAGAACGAGCAAGATAGCCATTCTTTCTAAAACGAGAAGTAAACCTTGAGAAGAGTCTTTAGCACATGAACGACGACGATTATCGATCATGTATTCCAAGGAAGTGCATGTTTTAGTGATAAACTCTGCATATGTCGGCTACGACGAAGGCCGAATTGTTTCGCTGTCTTCGACCCTCTTAGCTTCGCATTCCAACTTTCTCCGTTTACATTAAAAACTTATTCCCATTTCCTGGGTTGTAACGCGACTTGCTCTAACCTGTGTCTGGAAAATGAACCCGTTCAGTTCAAGTTCACGCTCGTGTTAGAGCACATCTTCTTGATTTAACGAGTTGGATCATCCACGAATGATCCATCGTGGACTCGATCGTTTACGTGATCCACGGGAAGGAAAATTCATCAAAGCTCGATGAGGAAGTGGCCAGCGAAGGAGTGGCATGCGTGAAGCGTCATTCTAAGGGGACAAGGCACGTGGCTGGGGTGAATGTAACGACGACACAGGTGAAAATATAGGAGCTGTTGGACGTAACGAGAACCACTGGCAAAGCAGGAAAATGTGAACGTATGGATAGCCCGTTGTCCCTCGAGGTTGTTCAGTGTCGTCAGTTCGATCCGGTCACTGGGCCATTCACCATGAACGAGCGCAGTGAGTGTATTTATACTATTTAACCATTCCTTCCGCTGATGTTACGTACTCGTGCATCCCTCTTTTAACTCTCTATACCCCGGCTTTAACTTCTCTAGCAGTACCTTGTCCCTTCGTACTGGGTTCAAGTTCAACTTCGTACGACCCTAAACCCAATCTGCCTCCATTTCTTTCCTCCACTTCCCATAGCGCATACTCGTTTAAACTTTCCTCGGCGAATTCAATTACCAGAATTAAATTCCGAGCTTATATGCCGAACAAGTGGCAAGTAATTTCGAGAATGTTTAAGGGCGTAGAGACTGAAAATTACGAAATTAACGTGGCTCAAAACTGAAAGCTATCTCGTGCGATTATCTGACGTGCGCCATCGCGAGTGCGATAACTTAATAACTTAATCTTAACTGTCTAATTACGAAGATGAGACTTTATCGTTTGATATGCCACTTTTGCCGTGAGTTGTCAGCGATGCATTCGTGGGTTTACCGAAAACGTGTTGTTCCCTTTCCCCAGAAGACGATTCGCAGTTTATTTACACGATCGGCAGCCACCAGAACCTGGTACCGATAAGATCCAGACACGCCTGGTAAGTGATCGCGAGATTGACGTCTGCCTGTTGTATCCGCTCGCTTGCTCATTAAGTCGTTTTATTACACGCATTAAACAGCCGGCGAGGGAGCCGTTAATTTAAGCATGTCAATTAGATCTATTCTCTTCTTTAGCCTCAAGAAATGGAGGCAAGCACCGAATTTAACGATTATTATATTGTCCATCCTGATGACTTCGTCCATCGTACTCGCATTGGTGTTTTCCATACTTTGTAAGTAAAATTGACAGATTATTATCCTCTTGACTGATTTATCGAGGTCGTTAAACGCAACGAAATCGCCATATTTCCGTTTTCCTTTGGCCATTATCTTATCTCGCCTTCCTTTTCACAGACGCGACCAACAGGCCAGCGAAGCTCTGCGAAACTGAAAATTGCGTGCGCATAGGTGAGCGAATAATTAAAATCATTTCGTATTTTAATCGTAATTCGAGAAAATTTTACGAAACTATTGCTCCCCTAGCTGCTAGTCTGAAGGAGTCTATGGATACGTCCGTAGATCCTTGCGATGATTTTTATAAGTGAGTACTCCAGCTGGAAGGCAATCGAGTCTGTCGTCTATAGTATTTGTCAAAGTTACGAAGCCAGCTTTCAGTGTCGCACGATTGTATACCCTTTATTGGCAACGAGCACACGTGTTCGGTCTTGCATGTCTATTTCACAAAATACACGTGCAACGTTGCGTGAGATACGCGTTCCGAGAAAAATTTCATCCGCGTACTTAGAATGTCCTCACGGTTCCAGATACGCGTGCGGAAAATGGTCGGATGAGCATCCCATTCCGGACAACAGTATGACGAACTCGTGGTTCGAGGAGCGCAAAGAAAGAGACTTTTACGAGATAATAGCACAAACGTGGACGCACCGTGGGCAGTGATGCAGGCAAAAATTTTATACAGCAGCTGCACAGACGTGCGTACGTTGGCATTTTCTTGAATAATTTTCCCCTCTGCTTTGTCGTAATTAGTCGCAATTAGTCACGGTTTGAGTAACGTTTATCGCAATTAATCGCTTAAAATTACATAGACTGTTCAACGTTCTGTTTAACTTTAGCCGCGATGAACGAGCTTGGATTGACGCCATTGTTCGAATTATTGGAGAAGCTCAACTTGCCAGCGATACCTGCTGCACTCGGTAAAAAGACAAACGGCTATATGGAGCAGATAGCGAGGGTGAAGAAGATTTTGGGCAGAGATGTTTTCTTCGGCCTGGACATTATACCAGACCCTCGAAACACCAGCAACAATATCATGTTCATCGACACGCCCATAATGGCTAACCCTTTACCGAAGTAGGATTTTTATTACTTTCTTTCCACGCTCGACGTAACGCGACCGGTGAACCAGTGCGAATAAGTACGATTTCGTAATTGGATATTTCAATCAACAGCGATAAAGAGTTGGAGAAACGATTGCACTCGATCAGGTCGCGTTTCCGGATGCTGGAGAACGACGATGATGGCGACGGTACCGGCAGCAAACTAAAGGATGCAGAAATTACGTACATAGCCGAGATAATCAAGCAGGTCGTGAATAATGGAACCCTCGATACATGCTCCTTAAACGGTGAATCATTCCCCGACGAAGAAGAGCTGGAGGAAGTCACTGAGACGCTTTTCGAATTAACCAGCACATTTTATTACGTAAGTAATTCGGGTAATGAAATCTGTGTAACAAGTATCGTGGATCGGAGGGATCGCAAGAAAAGTGTATTTGTAATTACAAGTATCGTTGATCAGGCGTATCGATAATGCTAATTGCTAATTACTTTGTTGCAGTTGGCTCGTCTGGAAAGCAATCAGACCGTTTGGGAAGATGATCCGACTGATGATGATTACATGTTGGTAGACGAATTACAGAAGTTGACCGACGAGTTCGTGATTGAAGTCAATTCCAGTCTCACACCTAAACCATTATGGCGACCGTTCATCGAGATGCTTTTCAAGGATATCGATGATTTAGACTTGAACAAGAAGGATAAAATATTGGTAGGCGACTTGGAGTACTTGAAGGAAGTGGCTCTTCTGTTGGCTAGTACCGAGGACGAAATATTAGGTAAATTTCTCTAGAATTTATTAATCTTTTCGTTTGAAAATCAAGTACCGTTCCTTTTGAGTATAATTTAATAATCGCCGATTAAAATTCTTGGAATTTTAGAAAGTTACATTTGGTGGGTGATCGTTGATATCGTCGTACCCCATTCGGCGGAAAATTTAAGGAAAATCTGGTCGGATTACATCGACGAAGTGACCAGTGTCGAGATCGGTGATTCAAAGTCTCTGCTTTGTGCTTCTGCGGTTAACGAATTGATGGGTTAGTGAACTGAAATGCCGAAAGACGGTAGTGTTAGGAGCTGTTGCGAAATTCAAGCACCTGTCGTCAAAGCGTGGTGTAATTTAGGTATGGCGGTCTCGTGGCTGTTCGTGGACCCGTCCTTTCACGAGGACAAAGGAAAAAAGGTATTCGAAATGCTGGACGACATAAAACAAGCTTTCGCTTCGTTGGTTTTGCGGACCGATTGGATGGACCAGCAGACAAAAAGGGCCACGCTGGAGAAAAACTTGAAGATGGAGTCCCAAATTGGCTTCCCGGATTGGCTGTTCGATGAAAGAGTCCTTAATGAATATTACGAAGGCGTAAGATATTTATTGCTAACTCGGTTAATTAAGCATAGCTATAGCGGCAATAAAATTAACTTGTACATTTTCAGATAGATTTCTCGGCGACCGAATACTTGAACAATATGCTCCAAATCGTTCGACTGATGTCTTTGTCTGAACTGGAATGCATTCACGATATCAATTACAATAATGTTTCATAGTAAGAGCTTCATTTTACGAAACAAATGTAAAGTGAGATCAGTACAGAGTAATTACTGAATCTTCTTTTCATTTCTTGTCCATTAGTTGGGCGACTGATCCAACGGATGTGAATGCATTTCACACGTACCAGTTTAATCATATAAGTACGTAACTCACCGACTAATTAAAACACAATTTATGTGAGGCATAATTACACGCATATCGTTTTTCTAACACGCATGCAGCTATACCAGCGGGAATTCTTCAATTTCCTTTTTACGAATTGGGTCTCGAGTAAGATTAGAATTGACATTGACAACAGATTGCGAAGAGCAATCGTTATTAGATCAATTTTAGATCAGTTTCCTAATTTCAGATCTTTAAATTACGGTGCCATCGGTACAGTGCTTGGTCACGAATTGACACACGGATTTGACAACAACGGGAGACACTACGACAGCAATGGGAACGTGAGACAATGGTGGACCAACGAGACTATTTTCCAATACACGGAAAAAACTGAATGCTTCATAGATCACTACAACACCTACTATGAAGCTGATGTACGTAAGAGATTTATTTTCGAGCATACCTCATAAGTTTAAATAATTTCCGAACCGCATCGATCATTCTACCAAAGATAGTTTTCCATTTGGTCTAACCTCGACGCTAATCGATCCGTAGACCACGTCGTTTTCCGATTTCTTTTTCTTCTAACGATCTACAACCGTGGACAGGTTGATTGCGTATCTATTCCAACAGGTAGACGATTATATCAATGGTGAACGTACTCTAGGAGAAAATATAGCCGATAATGGTGGTCTCAGGGAAGCTGTCATCGCTTACGAAAGATGGAAGACCAGACATGGTCAAGAGCCTCTGCTTCCGGGGTTCACTCACCTTACTCACGAGCAGCTCGTTTTCCTGAGTTTCGCGCACGTAAGATATAGATTCACGTGTCTTTGACCTAAGATCGTGCAATTTAGAAATTGATTCCACCATAATAAATGCGAAAGAGTTCTCCAGACGTTTCGGAAATGCTAAAGAGAGATGGATGATATCAAAGTTAAAAAAGTTTATCGTATAAAATAGTTATTAATTCGTGTAATTTATGTCCATGTGCTTTATATCGCTTTGCCGATGCTTTTTACAACTTCGTGAATAGCTTGTACGATACCGTATTAATTACGCGCGATGTCCAGGCAGATATGTTAATTCGCATCATATGGAATTAATTTACGGTTTATCATCTGAGCGTTTATATTTTTCCTACATTCGCGAATAATTCGCAATATCTAATTTATTCCGCTTTTTATGCTTATCCAGCTCTGGTGCGAGTCGTACACACCGAAATCTTTGGAATGGATATTACAAGATTCCCATTGCCCTGGGCACGTGAGGCTCCTAGGAGTGCTGAGAAATTCCAAGGAATTCGGCGAAGCATGGAAATGTCCTGTGGGATCCAACATGAATCCCTCGAAAAAGTGTCGACTGTGGTAACGATAGCGTGGTACTAATTCTCATCGAGATCTACCGAATCTTCTTCCTTCAATGTAGCCGAACTTTTGTACTCTTCGTTTCTGTACAATCATCGACGCTGTACCAGTGACGAATAGTTTCCATAATAAGCGTGTTAAAGTATACAGGATAGTTGTTGAGAGTGTTATTACATAATAGCCTAATGTTTATAATAAAAGAATTTTATTTACTTATAATAGTCACGTATCCGTGTTGCGCATTTATACCTTAAATACACGTTTCTCTTAGGCACAAATTTAAGGTAAAGTGTTTACGCTTAGGAATTCATCATTCTTTATTGCGTACAGTCATTCGTGATAATTCTTTCCCATCGTGTTAAACCTGGTAGCTATAATTTAACAACACCACTCCGTGTACGAACAAGCCAACCAACTCTTTTGTATTCTACAAGTATAGTCTCTTCGGTATACTTTCAATAGATATATCCACCGTTGGCATCCGTTGGCTGAACGTAATTGTTAGCTACAGAGATACTTTTCGCGGTGTTTAAATTCGGTAATAATGGATTCTCCACGGCGACAGTATCCTGGCTTAGGTCGGGCTGAAGAGATCCGGGTGTAGAGGGTGAATTAATCGGTGGAGCTAACGTCGGTGATTCTCCTAGCAGACTAGGTAGCGATGGAAATGATAAGGAAGGGAACGAGGGAAACGATGGCAACGTTGGCAACGAAGGCAACGACAGATTTTCGCCCAGACCCGCGAAAAAGTCGCTAATCACACCTTTCTGAGGCTGATTATGGTACACAGACACCGTATTCGTTTTAACTACTCCATGTTGGACTCCGAAAGTTTGCGGTGCCGATTCCACAGGATGCACCGACGATACAGACTTCACTGACGTTAAGGTTTTCACCGGTGATACCGGTTGGGCTGGATATACAGAATGTGCAACTGGCGACAGAGTATCTATGGTTTTCACAGTTGATACGGATAGCAGAGGGTGAGCCGTTGGTTCCACTTGTGGCAGATGTTCCACGGTCTTCACCGATGGTACGGAGTGAACAGGGTGTACGGAATGATCAACTGACGGCAAAGTATCAATGGTTCTCACCGATGTCAATGGTTGGACAGTGTGAACCGTGTGCTGAACTTGAGGCAGGTGTTCCACGGTCTTCAGCGATGATACAGAGTGCACGGGGTGTACGGAATGATCAACTGACGACAAAGTATCAATGGTTCCCAATGGAACCGTGTGTTGAACTTGAGGCAGGTGTCCCACGGTCTTTACCGATGATACGGAGTGAACAGGTAGGACAGAATGTTCAACTGTCGGCAAAGTCTCTATGGTTTTCACCGTTGATACCGGGAGTACCGGGTGAACGGTTGGTTCAAGTTGTGACAGATGTTCCAGGGTCTTCAACGATGATACAGAGTGAACAGGGTGTACGGAATGATCAACTGACGGCAAAGTATCAATGGTTCTCACCGATGTCAATGGTTGGACAGCGTGAACCGTGTGCTGAACTTGAGGCAGGTGTTCCACGGTCTTCACCGATGATACAGAGTGAACAGGATGTAGAGAATGTTCGACTGACGGCAAAGTCTCTATGGTTTTCACAGTTGACACGGGGAGTACATGGTGAACAGAGGGTTCAACTTGTGGCAGATGTTCCACGGTTTTTACCGATGATACAGAGTGAACAGGATGTAGAGAATGTTCGACTGACGGCAAAGTCTCTATGGTTTTCACAGTTGATACGGGAAGTACAGAGTGAACGGTGGGTTCAACTTGTGGCAGGTGTTCCACCGTCTTCAACGATGATACGGTGTGAACGGGGTGTACAGAATGTTCAACTGGCAGTAAAGGTTGAAGGGAATGTACGGTATGTTGAACTGGTGTCAAAGATTTCACGGTTTTCACCGATGACACAGGTTGGACAGTGTGCACGGTGTGTTCTAACGGCGTCACGGTCTTCACGGATTTCAGGTACGAGATTGGTAGGGCTTCTGCGGGATGCGGCTGTGTCAAGGTGTTCAAGGTTGATTGCACAGGCGTTAGGCTACTCTCGAGTGATAAGGACGGATGGATTTCGAGGGGGTGGGAGCATGGCGGAGGGGGAAGATCCTTCACAGAGTGCACGACATGCGTGAACGAAGATGGAGCCTGGAAGGTGGTCGCAGGGTGTCCAACGGTTTGCGAAAGGGAGTACCCGGTTGGCAACCTTTTGGCGATTTGGACAGACAATGGGAGAGGTACATTGAAGTCCAGGTTGAAGCCGCGATTAACAGATGGCAAGGAATAACTCGTGTCGAGGCTGCTGAAGCCGGAGGAGAGACTGTCGAACGAATTGAACGTGGACGGAATGGTCTCGTGCTCGCTGGAATAAAAGCTGGGAGGTAGATAGGCAGAACCGCCGTAGCTGGGAACGTTGAAGACACCCGAGTAAGAGGATTGAACGCTAGGCAAGCTATCGGTCAGCAGAGTGTTGCCGAAAAAGTTCTGCGTTCCTGTGGCCGCAGGGAGAGTGTTCACTCCGACAGTGAGCTGTGGTGTAGCCACTGCAATACGAGAAATGTTGAAATTATAATTAGGCAATTTAATTCCCGATAACACGACGAGCCTCCAATGCTGCAAAATTTATACCGTAGCTCGATCACGGAAGATGTTATTTATTAAGAGAAAAGGAAAGAGAAAAAGGCAGCATCGAAATCTTTCGATGCATAAATTATTCAAAATGCAAAGTATGACATTCGCTGTGCTATTTCGAAATTTATTTATTGCGCAATGTCACCTACGATGCTTTTTCACCGTCCAACTGTATATATTTATCAAAAACATTCTTACCTTGTACGTGTGGAACTTGTTTCTCGACCTTCACGCCTGCTGGAGGTAGTTCTTGAATTTTAGTGACTTCGGTGTGTATCGTTTTGTCCGTGGATTTAACACGCCTATCGATTACGCTTCCTGTAACGGGCTGGAAAATTTCGAGTCAAACCTGTAGTGCTCTTCGAAGTAACTTTCGAAGAAATGGAATAATTGCCAGGATTATTAATTTACCTCGACCGCAACTCCGTAGGAAGTTGATGGAGGTGTAGCGCTCACTGTCTGCAAACACGAAATTACGATAGTACAATGAGAAACTCGACGAGTTTATTTCGTAAATACCTCGATAGTCTTGCCGGGTATCACACTCGCAGATGATATCGTTTTCTCAAGACCTACGTAAGCCCCATCCTTTTCTGGAACCTAAGCATGCACATAAGAATTTGCGAATGAATTTTGTCGTGGAAGGAAACTCTATAAAAAGATCCTCCGATTGAAATTTTTTAGTACTCTATGCTGTATAATATATGTATGTTTATATCGGTTACGTGGACAGTATCAGGAATTCCATAAGATGATACCGGTGTGGAATATTTGGTGACTCGAACGGTTGGTGACAGGTACTCTTTTGTACCCAAGGGAACACCTGGCTGATATCCTGGAGGTCCGTAGGTATCCTGTGGTACCTCGGGAAGATCGTAGGAACTTACACCAACGGATTTCAAATCTTCCACTCCATTCTCGTACTGATGGCTACCACTTGTATGAGAATTAATGGCATGCACAACGTCCCTCTTCTCTTTTGGGTGAGCTGAAGAAGCCGCTAGGCAGGTCTGGAATATTTTTGGAAAAATACACCGATCACGCCTGTTTGTTTCTCGAGGAAAACGGGGAATTTATCACGTGTCGTCCACGATTGAAAAATGTAAATTGCTTATAGAGAAGAAAATAATCAGATTTATCGATGATACAGAAGAAATTCAAGGCCTCCGAGAACGACGTCTTAAAAGGACGAGATAAAAGCGGATCCTTACCAGAGCGATCAGCAGGAGCCTCATGCTTCCCGTATGGTGTTTGAACGAGGAGTCCAGTATCATCCGAAAGATATTTCGACCTTTTATACTCGGCCGATGCTCCCTCCAATTTATTTCGCAATCCGATGGCATTGGGAGAACTAGATTTTTTAATTGACTTCTCTTGAAGGCCTGCGCGAGGGAGATGCTCGCCGTAGACAAAATGTTTCCTATATAATCTTCTGCTGAATTGGTGACGCGGCACGCCGGCCAAATAAAACGGAATTCCATCTTTGTTTCGGTGTTGGTGTCCCTCTCCTCCTCCTTTCGCGCCCACAGCCTTTACTCTCGATATTTAAGAGAGAACCATAGGAACGAAGGATGGTTTATGCAAATTTATTCGCGTCTTTCTTCTTCCAGCTTTGTCCTTTTCCCTCTCGTCTTCGTTCTTCCTCGCCTTCTTCCTCGTTCACGCCCCCTGAAGGCGTACAAGTCCGTTATCGAACCTCGTTAGGTCAAGAGGAAGCTTTTAAAGGATTCGGATAACGAATGACGAGCTTTCGTTAGGTTCAATGAATCGAGGAGAATTAAATAATTCGTCCGATCGCACCCATCAATTTTTATGTGTTTTGATACACATACACACCTGATACATTGCGTCATGGCGTTTCATAACTTTCCAAATACGGAGAACCCGTTACGAGGATACTCGTGATATTTTTCTCTCAAAAGGCACTGCTCTTTTTCGGTGCATTTCATCCCTTCGATGACAAAAGGAATTTTGAGCCATAGTGTGGCTAACACTGAACCTATCGCTGCTAAATGATCGATTTTTAATTTTTGATTAATTGTAAGATACGTTTAACGGTATCCCTGTAATCACACGACGTATAATTATTTCATTTTCTTTCACATTCTTCTTCCATTTCTTCATCCAATTTTCAATTTCAGTGATTTGTTGATTTTATTGAAAAGAAATCTGTTTATGAAGAAATAATATAGATGACATTATAACTGCTTGTGTAATTTTTGTAACTAATATTTATAGCTTGCATAAGTAACGAATTTACATCTTAAATTAAGATGGATTCCTTGTCCTTGGCCTATAGGAATGACAGGTTCATCGAGTAATTGTCTTCGAAAATAACTTGGTATATATTTAACAATCTCGTTTCACTGATCTC